GCCAACTTAAATGCGCGCTCTCTCTCTCTCTTTTCCCGAAAGACTGGGTCGAAGGGCTCTTCCTACAAGCATTTGGTCTGTCTAGCTCAGGGTTTAGGCACTTGCAAAAATCATACAAAGGCTTTAGCATTTGTAGAATTTTGCTCAGGCTTTAGCACTTGTAAAAGTTTATCTGACACTTGCAAGAGGCTTGACCAAGTTTTAGCGTTTGCAAGAGATTTGACCAAGTTCTAAGTTCCAAAGCACTTGCAAGAGTCAGACTTGACCAAGTTTTAGCAGTTGCAAGAGACTTGACTGCAAGAGTTGACCAAGTTTTAGCATTTGCAAGAGGCTTGGCCAAGTTTTAGCACTGACCAAATTTTATCTTTGCGAAAGACTTGACCAAGTTTCAGCTACACCGCCACTCATCCGGCTCCCCAGCGACATGCATTTACGCCAGCGTGCTTTCCTCCCAGTGGCACGGGCTCACACAAACTTTTCACCGACGCCGCGCCAAACCAGCGCAAACGCACTTTTCGCCAACGCCGCGCAAAACCCCATGGCACAGCGACATCACAAACGGACTTTGGCCACACACTACATACAATTAACCGTGTCGCACCCAGGCTCGCACACACCCACCCAGCTCCCAGCGACACGCCGCATTTACGCTAGTGTGCTTTCCTCCCGCCAGTGGCACGGACTCACGCAAACACACCTCTCACCAATGATGCGCAAAGCCACATGCCAGACAAACCAACCGCCTTTAGGAAGAGCCCTTCGACCAAGTCTTTTGAGGAAAAATGCCCAGGCCTTTGAAGCATTGAGTCCCAAAACGTAATTTGAACAAGGAAAAGGAATGCCAAGCTAGAATTCAAAACATCCAGATTCGGACGCTGCGTCGCGTCGTGTACATTCTCTAGGCACGACTGGTTGGTGTCAGTTGGCGTTGCGCGTTGATACATTTAGGGTGGTGTTACTGAACACATTGAATGCATTGTCACTGTATAAGCTTCCTTCATATTGGCTTGAGAAGCATGTCGTGGTTATCAGTAACCTTCGTAGTCTTGCAGGTCTTGCGTGAAATGTAGTCTGGCGTTCGCGTCAATTTCTGGAGCCAAGAGCAGCGCTGGAAGCTGGTCTTCGAGCCTGCGGTAAAGAAAACTGCACCAAAGCTGCGATCGAGACTTTCAATCGCCTACAAGTCGCTTGGGAGTTGAAGGATCGAAATGGGGCCGCGCAATGGTGTGTCAGGACTTCAGTACATCATTGCTCAGGCGTATGAGCACCTCGGGCTGGCAAGCTTCTTCTAGATTACTACGCGTGGGCGCAAAAAAATAAAGCCCACGACTCCGAATGCCCACGCGCGCTCGAAAACAAACGGTCTTGTGGGGCACACATCAGCCACTCTTGTAAGAGACACTCTTGCGGGACACTCTTGTAGGAGACGCTCTTGTAACAAGTGTAGAACACTCTTGTGGAAAACTCTTGAAGGTTCTTGTGGGGTACTCTCATGGAAAACTCTTGGGGGGCACTCTTGCGCGACACTCTTGTAGGAGACACTCTGGTAGTCTCGCGCGACACTCTTGTGGGCGGCTCTTGTGGAACATTCTTGCGGGCTCTCGTAGGACAACCTAGAGTAGGGCACTCTTGTAGACGACACTCTTGTGGGACGCTCTCGTGGAAAACTCTTGTGGGGCACTCTACTCTTTGTGGGACGCTCTTGTAGGCGGCACTCTTGTATAGGCGACGCTCCCACAAAAGCTCTCTCGAGCGCTCTTGAAAGTCGCGCAAGAGCGTGTGTCCCACAAGGGTACAAGGGGTGGCGCGCAAAGGTTGCGCTAGAGTTTTCCACAAGAGCATTGCCTACGAGTGCCCTACAGGAGTGCTACAAGAGTGTCGCATAAGACCGTCGCCTACAAGAGTGTCGCACAAAAGTGCCCCGCAAAAGTTTTCCACGCGAGTGCCCTGCAAGAGTTTTCCACAAGAGCGTCGCCGACAAGAGCGCGTGCCCTGTCGTCCACACGAGCGCCCCGCAAGAGCGCCTTGCTGATGGTTTCGTCCCCGGTCTCGTTCCCAAAAGTCTTCAGCCATCCATTTCAGCCCTGCAACCTTGAACGCATCCTTCACAGTGAGGAAGGCGCCAAGGAGGTCTATTGTGGAAAAGTCTCGTGGGCCACTCACTCTTGCGGGTTGCTGTTGTATGCCCATTGTAGGGGACACTTGTGGGACACTCTTGTGGCATCATTGCGCGACACTCTTGTGGGACACGCTCTTGTAGGAAACTCTTGTAAGACAAAGTTGTGCGACACTCTTGGGATGGTCTTGTAGGACACTCTTGCGGCACACTCTTGTATAGTATAGGACCGCACTCTTGCAGGAGACGCGCTGGTGGGACACTCACGCAAAAGTGTTGGCACACTCTTGTAGAGGATCTCGTGAGACACCCTTGTGGGACACTCACCTCCAACACGCACGAAGTACTGTGCCTGCCACGAAAAAAGTACTACGTCACATCTTCTTGTCTTCAGCAAAGTTGCGCCGCATTACACATTTGGAATGATGTCGACACTTTCTGCGCGCTCTCACCTCCACCCAAATCGCAATTTTAGCTGAGACCTGTCACGAAAAGAACGGTTCGAGGCAACAGCCTGAAACGCAAATCCCACTGCCACAGCGACATTCAACACCTCCAACAGACCACCCCACACGATGCACGCGCCAATCCATCCTCGACGCTTGCGCATGTTACGTTTTTACCGCTAGTTCACACGAATCTGCCACCCAAAAGTTTCCCTCACTGTATCGATCACATTTGGACGGTTGCAAACGGCCGCAAACGGTTGCGAACACGGAGCCAACGTCACGCAAACAACGCTCTACCCTCAAACTCCAAAAGTTAAACAAGAACTCTTCGCTACGCATTCGGGAAGAACAGCGCGCATTCAGCAAACATCTGTGCCCCGTTTTTGTAAGACCTGCCTGGGACGGCAAAAAGTGACCTTCAGTAAGTTCAGGCCTCAGAAGGTCTGTGCAAAGTCTGAACCAGGAAAATCAACAGCCCCACAAAGCCTCGATCCAACCACGGAGTGAAGCCTGACCAAACAAACTGAGCAAAGCGCTGGACAATCCTGGCTTCTGCTTCAATCAGGTGTCCAGTTTCAATCAGCTCCTGCAACTAGACGCTGCAATGAAACCTGCGCCCCTCTTCAATGCTGTCGCATTTGGTGGCAAATTGTTGCCTGGAAATCTCTCTTGCTGCAAATTGCAACCCTTCTGAAGGTTTTCCCCGTTTCCTTTCACTTTTCTCTTAATTATTAAGAAATTTATCTTGGCAGACTTGGCAGCTCAGTGCTCAAATCCTCTCGGCTGATCTCTCGTTCACCCACAACTCGCCGCTCCCCAAGCTCAGCCGAGCCCAAGCTCCTGCATCTTGTCCACACTGAAGCAAACTTTACTGTGACACAAAAGTATGAAGCCTGCCATTACAGTGATAATCCATCCACGCATTCAATCCCAAACTCTCACAAATGCAATGAAATGTGCAAAAACTTAAGTGATACAGGGTAAGCTCGGATAAGTCGGCGTCTCAATTCTCCTGAGTCCGGCACCACGTGCTGACACTTGCCTCAGCCCTCCAACAGAATCAGCTGCTTCCGTCGGAATGGGTCTGTGTGGAAGATTGACTTGCCAGAGAGTTGCGGGTGAGCTGGCGGCAGGAGATGGAGCCTCTACTGTGCGTACTAAGGCAGGGGCAAGAGTGACCGGTGCTTGAACAGGTTGGCGTGTTTGTTGCAGAACGATAGGAGGAGTCATGGTTACCTGAGAAGTGTAGAGAGGCATCGCTGGGATGGCCGCTCCGCGGTATCCAACTGTTTGCATAAGCGGCGTTACCGCTGGTGCTGGGTGCGGTGCCGGGCGCGGTGCCGGGTGCGGTGCCGGGTGCGGTGCTGGGTGCGGTGCCGCTCCCACACACATAGCCACATTGGTCCTCAGTATTGGAGGTGTCTGGCCAGATAGAAACATCAAGCGAATGTTTGGCTGGCTGCGTTATCGCAAAGCTTACAAACGACATTGACGACATGGTGACTGATAAAAGTTTTAAGACCTTACCTGATGACTGCTTGAGGTGATGAAGACTTCTGGAAAAGCCTTCAGGTCACATGTCCTTCTCACCCTGACTCAAGTTCTGACTGCATCTATGTGGTCCAATCTGATCTCGCAGCAATCTTTCCCTTGCTTTGTATCCACGAAGAAACCGCCTGACCATTTCATGGCCACTATGAAAGTTTGTCCGATGCGTTCTTGTCAAGCAAGTAGCATTCGGCGCTGTTGTGCCTGATCAAAATTACAAAGGCCAGGGCCAACGCACGACTCACACAGGTTGACCAGTGCTTTCTCGCGATCTTGCTGAAGAGTTGGCCTTCTTTCCCGGCGGAACTAAAAGTATAATACTGTATATATATACCTTGCTTGACACTATGCTGAACCGCTGAACCATCCCTTTCAAAGTTTCAAGCAGTTATACAACTTCATACGTGGAGTGCACTCATGCGAGCATTCCAACTGTTTGCCCCTTACTGCGGGTCTAAGTTGTATCATAAATTCGATTTCCTTCGGATATCGCAGCAGCGACAGCCTGTCCCAGTCTTGCCCACTCCTCCCGGCTTATGACCTGAGTCTCTCGACGCAAGCAAGGAGATCTGCTGTTGTATCAGGATGCGTTTCTAACATTCATATACACGACAATCTGCTTTTGGGGCCTCTCTTCTCTCTCAATTCGGGCCCTAGCACCATCGTTGTTCCTTGAAAATCGCTTGAACTGCAATCCAAACACGTGCACAATCATGTTGATTCCTAATTTACTCTTTCCGGTTCATTGCCAGGCATCTGATCCAGCATGTCAAAGGTGGCTGCCATTCGGCGCGCTTTGCTGACCCTATACGCTGAGGAGTGTTGTGCACTTTTGAGGCGTCTGGATGCTCTGATGCACGGCAAACAATTTGTTAAGCACATTTTTGGTTCATATAAGTGCAACCAGGCTTGGACCAGGCTATTCAGACCCAAGTGGAAATGTAACAAAAACTACAGCGGTTTCTTGCCACATCCATGCGTCACTTCCAAGGAGTTCTCATCCGTAGCTTGCAGCCTTTTTCATTTTTTCACTCTATGTTGGCGTCGCCTGCTCAGCCACTCGCCCGAGCTTAAAATGACAAAGTATTTGTCAAATTTTCGTGAGAGCCTTGGGATGCTCTTTCTGGGAGTTGTCACGTCAGCATTTGGCAAAACGCAGTTCTTCACTAGCCAAACTGGTTGTTAACGCTATACACCAATCCAAACAAGGCTTTGTGGCCAAAAAACTTTGCATTGACTTCGCTGGTAGAAAAACCAATGCAGGTGAAACAAGTGGTGACCAAACACCAGAAACGACTACGCAAAACCTAAGTCCAAGCAATCAAACGGTGTAAGCCTTAGCCACATCATGGCACAGGGCCAGGGCTGTCAAGGAGTGCAATAGTCTCAGGCCCAAGCCGAAAATCAAAGCCCAAACAACTTTGCCGACTCTTCGCCAACCTATATGTCACAAAATAGGGGTTTCACAAAACTGAAGCCGCTTCTTTTCTTTCTTTCTCTTCCTTGACTTCGGCTTTGCGTTTGAACGTGGCCTGCTGCACTCTTGAAGGAATACCTCACATCTGTTGGCGCAAGCCCCCACCTTTTCTGTGTGCTACTTTTTACAAACAGGCGGCAGCCAAAGTAGTACGCCGGGTCTTTCGAACTAAATATTGGCCATTAAGTCATGATCGCGTTCTATACATATAGTGAGAATACCTCTCTTGGTGCGGCCCGTGATTGTCACGGGTGGCACCGAAGAGGCAGAAAGTCAGCCACGGGCCACGATGAAGGCGTTGCCGCGTGGCAAAGGCAAAAAATGCACACTACACGACCTACGAACGAATGCGTGCAAGGAGTGGTGTGGATCGAACGCAGCAATGACTGAGGACTAATGTTGCAAAGCCCGCGCAGCGAAAAGGAAACTCTTTTCACGCTCAGAAAGGACAAAGCGTGGGTTTCCAGCCAGCGCTCCGGGAGTGCCAGGGTGCCGAAAGCAATGCGGTTCACACGCAACATGCACTGCGCAAGGCTTCCATCGCCCTGAGAAAGAATACCAAAAATGGATGGGTTTGGCTAGCGTTCCTGTCAGCGAAGCAAGCGCGGAGCACTTGAGAAATCAGATCACAGTCTGAACAGGAAGCCTTGCAGTTGTTTATAGCGGTCTTCATGCTGTCGCTGCTGGAAAATCGGGCGCCGTCATGGAATGAGGGAAAGTAAGGCACGCTGATAAAATTGGACACGATAAGTTTGGCACGTTTGCAGCCACAAACTACTATTGGCGACAGCCCCATCAACATGCGGCGCTCAGCCACCGCAAGTAGTCTGCACATCGGTTCCAGTTCCCGTTGATCGGCGGCAACACAGACCTCACAGTATTGACAATTCCTGTAAAGCTTGGCTTGATCACCATGCACGTGGCGCCCTATGAGTTGGGAGAAGTCCTGTGTAAGTCCGGGTTGTTTTTCCAAGGCTCCACTTCCGAACGTGCATCCAGAAGTTTCGGATGTCTTGTGGCTATCGCAGCCAAACGTGAGGCTTCCAAAAAGAAGGCCTGTAGCCAGGCCGTGAATCACTTCATGAAGAAGAAGGACAGAGCACCCAACGCTTGCCACTTTGATGCCGTTCACCGGGCAGCCAGCAACGCAGACAAGGAAACAATCAAAATAGTGTTTGGGTTTGGATTGCATCTCTCCTCTATACATCAAAACCAAAGCCAAATGACTTTGAGCTGAGTAGTGACTTTATGGGGTTGTATCTTGAGACTACGCAAAAAGCTCGGGGCCCCTTCTCCGTGCGACTGGAATGCGCCAAGCGCCCAATTTCGACGCAGTCTCGTGCGGGGCACAATCCTGAAGCATAGCGCTTGCCACGTCGGTGCAGCAGGCAACGTGGCCACGACCCACAAGCTAGTAAACATTCCGCCACGTAGCTTCTGCGTGTCCTCTATCTTACGCTGTTTTGAAATCTTGCGCGCAGGGATTTAAAACATTCTTTCTATTGAAATTATATAACCACTTCCAAAACAAGCCATACTGCCCTGCAACGAAGAGTTCAGCGTCGCTGGAAGAACCCAACGCGTGAAGAACCCAAGCGGCGCCTGGGCGTTGCGGGAGGCCGGGCTCCTTTTTATCGCAGATTAGAGGACTTTGCCAATACACACTTCTTCTTTCCAAGCGTTCGGCCTCTGTAGCAGCATATTATTTGTCATGCCATTCCTTAACAGGCTCGTAAAGGTTTCTGGGTTTTAATTGGCCTTCTCAAACTGCCAACCGGTCATACTGAGGAGCTTGTCACTGTGCCGATGGGGCTGCCAGCAATCTTCTTCAGTTCTCTCTCCCAACTGCTTTTCGTCCCTACGCGACGGGCATTGTCACGTGTGGTCTGGGTTCGTAGCAGAAAGCCAACCGTGCAGCATTCTTACCGCCTATCAAACCCGCATTTGGTTTGACCTCTGTCTTGAGTTTCCCAATTAACTGAGTATACAGTATGAGTTAATCTTGATCTTCGAGCGGTGGTGATTCAGGTTCATCAGCATGTTCGACGCGACCTTCTTCCCAAGCAGGCGCAGTCCACCAACCGATCTTGCAACCAAAAGAAATTATAGAACCATTGAACCTCACCGCTAAACGCAAAAGTTTGCGTGGCTTGCCTCATCATACTTGACGATGAGATTGCAGGCCAAGTGGGGGCGCAGACCCTATATTGCAGAAGCTGGCCCGGCGACCTAATGTTCGGCCACGCTTTGCTCTGAACGCACTCCTTCACTATGGCGTCGTCAAGAACAAAGTTGTAAGTCCAAAATTGGCGGGAGACCGCCCCCCTCACCTTCATCACTGGTTGCAGAAATCAGGAAATCCCCTGCGCTTAAGGCCTTCAGCTTTTTTTTGCGTGGGACCATCTCTTGCTCTTGAGGGGTATGCCTCCCAGCACACGTTGTTTTTTTTGGAATGTTTTGAGGATGATCACGCCATGCGGCGTTTTCGTTTCCTCTTTGAGCAGCGCCGCGCCCCGTCCCTTTCATCATTATCAGTACGTTTAAAAGAACTACCCGTTGGCGGCTCGACCTTGTCGTCTTCTTTCTCGTTTTTCCTGCTGTCGTGTATCTGCATCTATCACCTGAGCCCTTGCGCCTTCTGCAGGTAGAGCGCTGGAGGTAATTGGACATTTTTGAAACTGAAACTTTTGGGCCGAAAGCGCGGCGCGCAACGTGGCCAAGGGCTCGAGCCTACAGAGTTCACCTTTTTGGCGGCTGGCTAGCCATGGTCTGCTTCAAGTTCGCTTTCGTGGTGGCGGCAACCGGCTTTAGACTCCTTGACGGAACCTCCAAGGTTCCAGGAAGATCCGGCTGGATAGGTGAAATCGTGTGGCAACAGCGCCATGGGTCGTACCACGGAGTTCTGGATTGTTTGAGGCCAAGAACATGGGATGGCTTTGTATGGACCTTGCTGGACACTATACTGAACAATGGCCTTGATGGCTCATGTTTGACCGCCCACTATGTTCTCTCGCTGTGTTGGCCTCTGTGCTCCTTGGCGATTGGGACGGCGCTCACCTTGATCTGAGTTTTGAGGGCTTGCGTCCGTTGCTGTGGACGCACACGTTCAACGATGGTGTGGGGGCGTTGCTGAGGCGGTGGGCGCGAGCTTCATCGGACCAGGTGCTGGAGAGATCCCCGAGACTGTGGAGCTCCGGAAGTTGAAGAGGGTCGGAGAGGCAGACCCATTCAAGAGAGGGCACGACACTGCGGCGGTCAAGGTCGGCATTAAAACGAGCGGTGTCTCTCTCACCATCGACCCGGAGGCCACACGTGGAGACGCAGCGCTCTTACTGGCCAAGGCTATGACAAGGCGCGCCTCTGTTGCCATGACGCTTGCCAGAAGACAGCCAGCAGCGTTTCAAGATCCACGCCTTGCCAAGGAGTTGAAGGGAGAGTGCTACCACTTGGCCACATCGGCGGCTGGCTGGGCGCAGAAGGCGGATCCAGGTTTCTGGTCATGGATGTGGAGAGGTGCTACTATACCACGGCCAAGTACACCTCTGAGTCGGAGCCGGGGCTAGGCATTCCAGGTGAGGTGGGAAGAAAGCGGAGGACGACGAGCCCGACGAGCCCCATGAAAAAAACCTTGCGCTGCTGAGACAATGCTGCAGACGAGGACATGCGAACAAGCAAGGGGTTCGAGTGCAGCGAGCATGAGGAGGCCTTCCTTACACCACCACCCAGACGCACATCAAGGTCGAGATCGAGAACCAGGCATCTTCCTGCTCAACATGACGGAGACGAACCTGCAGAAGGAGGTAGGGCCAGGGCGGTGAAGAGCGGTCTAGTGTTCGGAGAATTAGCCGGTTCACCGGGGCGTGCGCCTAAGTCGACCGTTCAGCGCAACCTGGCTCGTTTGGGAACGATCAGCTCCCCTGACTGCAAGGGGTTGCTGTCGACCCTCGAGGAGTTCATGGAGCAGCTTGTAGATGGGAAGAGCGTCGGCTTGGAGGAAGAGGATGCGTGGAAGCAGGTGGCGGCACAGTACCAGATGACCCTCCTCGACATCACCAAGTGGTTGTTCGAGCAGGCCACGGAGGAGCAGCGCAAAGGGACCAAAAGGCCTCACCAAGTTCCAGGCCGAGTGGCGGAAGCAGTCTGCAGCCTCGGACAGATCGGTTTCAGACGGGCGGAGCGCAGTGAGCCCGAATCCTGCGCCTGGCCTTTCCTCCTTGCCAAGAAGCGAGGCTACGACCCCACAAAGTGCAAAGGAGGAGGCGAACAAGACGAAGCGGAAGCCTGCGTTGGTTACATAGGCTCCAGGTTAATATTGCTAAGGCACGTTGGTGAAAGCCCAGCAGGATAACACGGCCGCGCCAGGAGGATCGGTCAAGAGCCTCGGAAGAACTTCAGAAACTTCACAATATTGGCTGGAAACGTGATGCGCTGCCAACCCTTTCCGGCGTGGGAGAACTTGCGCTCCCCCTTTTGCAGAGACCTGCCTTCCACCGCTTGCGCGACTCGGCTATCGAGCCTCCTTGGCGCAGATACCGTCGTTGCACGCGACGCAGTACTGAAGAGAGTTTTTTTCCACTCGTCTCACAGGTCTAGCTGTTCCCTTCGGAGGTATCTCGGACATTCTTAACCAACACAGGTTCGCCAGGTGGATGGGTGATCCCTGTGCTGACCGTGCCCCCACTGGTAGGGAAAGTCCTAAGGCTTTCACCTTTCAACTTCACCGCAATCAAGTCTTTGAAGGAATAGGCGGCCCTGTGCTATTTAATGTTGGCGCTGAAGAACTCATTCACCCATCGTCAACCATACTTGTCTCCATCTGTGACAGGACAGTCGGCTGCTGATCTTTTTGGTTGAACGTTGACCTTCCTTGCGAACTCGCTGACCAAATCAGCCATCTCAGCTCCCTCCTTGCGAAAACTGGTTCCTCACTTGAATGCTTTGTCTGCGTCTTGGATACAGCATGAACGGCATCACGAGCCTTGATCTTCCACTTCCTTCAGCTTTCGGGGTATGGACAACGAGCGCTTTGATGTGACTTGCTTCCGTAGTCGAAAACCCAGTCCTTCACCAACAGAAGATTTCTTCGCAAGCGGCTGAAGGTTCCCTTCATCTCCCTTTGGAGCTGAAAGGTACGGATCGCATCTGCCAGTGGAGTTGGTTCACTTTCACGGGTGGGATCGCTGTTGACGGGATCACTCGTAAAATTATACGACCTCCGAGAGTTCAATGGGGACCAAAAATCAGTTCTCCTCCTGTAATGACTCGTATGTCTTCTCTCTTGGTAGCCGTGCGCCCTGTGGAACAGAGATGGCGAATAGGTCTGGCCTTCTGATCGCAAGCCCTTCGTGTGCGACGCCTTCCGCCTCGAGAACCATAGCTATGACCATCCACCTAAACAAGCTGATGCGACTTTTGGCTTTTGGCAACTCTGATGCTCAACATGTTCTTGAGTGGGTCAGCAGTTGCCACATACTGATCAATAGTTTGATTATACGCGGGCGTCCAACATGTGGCTCTCAAAGTGTTGCTTCGTCGCTCTTAGTTCAGATGCTGTGTGCCTCAAAAGCCCCCCGCGTAATAGCTTCAATGAAGTTTTTTTGCCTCATGCTTCAGGGCTTCACTTTCTTTAACCATACTTGCAGCTTCGACTATCCTTTTGAGTCCTTCAGCTCGCAGCTTGTCACGCTGAGTGCTCACAAGCATGAGCGGCTCATTCTGCCTCTCCATGGCCTGCCGATATCTCTCCCCTGCAATCCGGCCAGGGCGTGAGCCCCGTCAGGGCCGTGTCCCTCCAGAGGAGCAGCCTGCTTCTGCGAAGCAGAAAGCGTAGCCGACCCCAGGTGCGGGACCCAGAAAACAAACAGTTTTTGACGTTTTTTTTTCCGCTCTTGTTGCTCACGATGGGTCAACATAGCCCAACATAGGACCAAATAATGCTGGAAATGCGTGCCGCACCGGGGTGCTTCGTCTGCATCGTGGGCGGATGTCTGGCCGATGCTGGCTCTGCGTTGCCCCATCTTGGCGTTATCTTGGCACATCTTGGGGGCTATGTTGGGCCCATGTTGAGCTTATGTTGGCCCGAGCCTATGTTGGCCCATCTTGGTGCTATCTTGGGCTATGTTGGCCCAGCATGACATTTATGTTGACGCACACGACAACAGCAACAATCACAGCCACACCGCCAACAACACCATCACCAACAACCACAACAACAGCCACAACCACAACCACGATCGCGGCTTTCGCCCCCCAGCCCCCTGACTTGACGCCCCTGGCCGGCTGTCGGGCGTAAGCCCTTAAATCGCCGCGACGACCTGTGCGATAGTAATCACACCCCTTTCTTGATCCAAATATCGGTCGGTAAGTAGATACAATAGCACGCATTCTTTACATAGCGAAAATACAACTGTAACCAGGAGCTGTTACAGGGCACATGTCGTAGCGAAGCTCACAGGAACGGACAACACCTGTCTTCAGGTTGTACGTCTGCTTGTACCTTAGCAGTTCTACTTTGTCCCATTGATTCCTGAGCATCTTCTGAGCGTAGCACTTTTGACAGGTCGTGTAACCAGTTGCCTCAGGCTCGCAGGCTCTCTCAAGTCAAGAGCAGTTCAAACCAGCTTAAAGCCAGCAGTGCAGGGCTCGGTGCTGTGTTGTAGCCAGGTGTTCCAAAGTTTGTCAAAGAACAACACTCGGCACTGGTCTGCAAGTCTGCACCATCTTCCCAAAGACCTCACCGCACCGGAGGCTGAAACAAGCTACACGGTAAAGTAGTTTATAATGCTGTTGGATACAAGCCATTTCACCGGGCGCAGCAAAGTGCAATGACAACTTGCAACAATCTGGAAGATGGGAACTCCTTCCAACTTGACCAAACTCTGAAGTTTTAAGAAGCGATGAAAGTAAATGATGCATTGAAAATTGCGTGACAAGCTTCTCATACGAACTGGTAAGACACCTGATTGGCTTGATGCTGTAAGCTGCCAACACATACAGTAGCTGCAGGCAGTGCCTACTCTGTGAACAAAATCAGTTCCGCTCAGCTTGGTACACCTTGGACGCGAGCACATCTAAAGAACGTTGACAAGGAGCTGTAGGGCCCATTCTATGCATTAGGCTGCCTATTAGGCTTGTAAGAAGCTACTAGTAACAAGGGCATCGCTACTAGTAACAAGTGCCTTACTAGTAGTAACAAGAAGCTATTAGTAACAAGAAGCTACATTAGGCCCTATTACGCTTGTGTCTTGAGACTGCAAACTCCACGATGTGCATCCCAGAAGCTCCACAATGCGTACAGCCGAGTGGTTGAAAGCCTGTCCAACCACTGTACGCTCATTGAAACAAGCATTGCAGCATCACCTTTTCGGGCCTCTGGGAGCATGGCTCGGACATCTTCAGGATTAGGGCCCACCGAAGCGCAGCAAAGATGCCTGAGGGTTTTGGGCATCTGAAAACACACAAGGCAAATCACTCAAATGGAAGCTAGAATGCAACACTTCGCCACATGCCTCAAATGAATGATTTCACATTTTTCATAGCCAAAGGGCTGTGGAATCTTTGGTAAGCTCTTCTGATCCATTGCCATAGCCTCATCTCTTTTGCTTCTTCATCAGGCTTGCAGCTGTTCAATGTGCCAGAAACAGCAAGCAGCCACAATTAAACAAGTAAAGGCAGCTGCCCATGCCTCGCATGTGACACAAGAAAAACGCAACAAACTATGCCTGAAAAGCCAGCAGCCATGCAACTACTCTCATGTCAACACCCACGCCTTTGGCGTTGGGCACGTTTTATATGTTTGACGCCAGTTTACCAATTTGCTCATCTCGACATGCCTATTGTTGTGAATCTCTTGTGGTGCACCTGCAAACCTTGACTTCTCTGAACTTCGATCAAACATCTGCGCATGCAAGCAGAAGCAAACATACTGGTGTCGATGCTCCATTGGCATGTACAGTAGCATACTTTGGGGTAGGATTAGCGTATTTTTTTTCGTCAAACAAAATCTCGCTGCAAACCAATAGTTAGTAGCATTCCCAGGTTTCCAGAAGAAAGATTCAACAAGGACTTCACTGGAAACTCCTTCTCAAGGCACGCTTCACATTGCCCTTCTGGAGCGGTGCGGAGTGGCTATTGTGGCTGGGGCAAGATCTGACCCTCTGCAGAAAACAAAAACACACGCTGAAATGTGCTGCATAACCGCAGGAAGGAATCATGCAAGCAACTTTGAGACTTTTGCTTCTGGACAGGAAGGAACTGATGACTTCGGCTTTACCCCAGGCTGGCAAGCGAGCAAACAACATACAAACCTTTCAAGAAAAACCCGTGCAAAGTGAATAATGACAATGTGCAAGGAAGTGGGGAAGGCTGCTGAGGCTTGCAGAATTTGAGTGCCCTTTTCAACTCGCTTAATGTGATGGCGAGACAAATCCCAAACTTTCCCAGCGTTGCAGGCCAGCTGATGGAAACTAGCTGAGAACATCAACCCTGGTAGTGGCCATCAATCCAAACACCTAGCCGCGATGGTGATATCTGTACGTGAGAATCAAAACAATACACTTGTTTAGATAGTTGTTATTGCCAAGGTCTCAGGTCAGCCAAGTGGTCTAATGGATTTGGCACTCATTTGCTGGATGTGTTCGCTGCAGTTCAAGCGTGCAACATATCTACAAACGAGCAAAAACATTACATGACTGCATGTTCGAGCTGGTCAAGTAAATGTACCCGAACTATGCCAAAGGAAATGTATCTGCTAAATGAATCTCAGGTTGCTGATGATGTGATTTCTTCGACTTTGAGACATTGACCTGTCAACGTTTAATGCTCGAAATGCTTTGAATGCCATGGACAGCGGTAACATCCTTAGCTCTTTTTCGAGACATCGCTGAAAGCTCGGCGAGTGTGTGGTCTTTCCCGACCCTCTCAAGGCTAAGTTCCCAACTTTTGGGTTTTGGCCAGCAGCTGGTCGCGCTTTACGCTTGCCAGGTTGAATTTGGTTAAGCATGAGGTGTTGCCGACCCACTAAATCACCTACCCATCGACTACTTTTTCCTCGAATTTGCAATCAGCCATGCAGCTGCTGCTGCACCAACGGCACCAACCTCGGTCAAACACAAACAATGTGACACGAGCTGTGTGCTCGTTTTGCATTGCATGTGCGTACAGCCCAGCAACCAGCAACAGGGCAGCCATTGATTGCACGTTCATTCCACCCTTTCCAAGCAGCGCCTGCAAAGGTACCCACAATATGGATTGGCGCCGTGAACGATCTTCTACAATGATGACAACAAAGGAACAATCGACATGTAGTATTTCAAGGAGGGCTTGGGCGCACTTTTCCACCAAGGGGTTTGGTTTACCGTCAGGGGTACCCAAAAGGACTGACCAAGAAATGCGGATGAAGGGGCAGGGGACTCGTGATATTCAGGGTGTGTGCGAGCACAAACGTCCACAAGCCATGAAGGTTTCTAGGCTGGGAATGGATGTTTCATGATGATGGCTACCCTCGAGATCGTGACCCCTTTGCACTTTCAAATGTTATTCCCTACTTGCCAGGTGAGGCTGTGAGATTTTACTATATCCGGCGTCCTTCTCCTTCTCATGCGCCTGCTCCTCCTCCACCAGACCTTAACTGCAAGTGCTGGAGTGTGTGATCGCAGTGGCCTCAACTGCAAGTGCTGACGAAATCAGAGCACGTCGAAGATTACCACCATGTCCAAAGCGCTGCGCCTGCCACGAAAAATCTACACATCGAAGTAAAACCACTCCGATCCCTTGTACCTGTCACGAAAAGTCAAGTTTGGACTACCAAAACGCGAGGTTTCCCACCAGATTTTGCGAGCCTGCGCAGTCGAAATGCACTTCGAAGATTTCGAGAGGCATGAATGTACTGTAAATAGCAACGAACTAGCTGCACACGAACGCGCAACACCTCGATTCAACACCGGCCCTTAACTCCTACTGTAAGAAACCCCTGACCACACTGTTTGGAGAAAAATGACGTTCGTTTTTTAAGAGGTAATCTGGGTGAAGAAGTTTCAGGTGAACTGAAGTGAGGCGAGGCAGGGCCGGCAGTGGTTGATTACTCTCGCAATACGGTGAATCAAGCACGACGACAAACGACACGTTTCATGATATGGGATAGGCTTGAGCAGGAATTGCCAAGCTGAGGCGAGCCAGGTAAAAGGAGGTGATGTGATGAGACGCGGCGAGGCTACAGAGAAGGACGGGCAAACGGATGGAAGAGCCAAGAAAAATGAACATGCATAGTTGCAAGAAAAATGCATCTAGAACAAGGCAGTTGCGCTCCTTGCACTTCTGATAAACGCAGACCCTCAAACCTTTTTGTAGCACCCAACGCCAACTTCAGCTGAGATGGTTGGCTCAGTCACTTAGTCACTGCATACCTACCTCAATGCGCTTGCAGTTCAAGTCCACTCTTTGCCAAAAATTGAGTATTGATTGTAGGAGCGCCATGCATCACACCATGCATGGCCTCGGGGTTCGGAATTCCTTGACTTTCTTCCCAACCAGCTTCTCTGAACTGCAGCACCTCAAACAAAACTCAAAACGAAGGGAGCCACGCAGGGAAAGCAAGTGCATTTCATTTGGAATGCTATTTAAAAAGTATAAGAAAGAACATGAATCAACCTCACTCATGCGGCATCTGCTGGCAGTTTCTTTCCTAGTGCACCTGCTTCTCAGATCCTTCAAGAACTCCCTTCAGCTCTATCTTCTCTTCTGTGCGAGCTGCATCAGAATGTAATGCATCCTGTTCATGCAAGTGACAGCTTACATACTGAATACATATCTGCACAATTGCCCTCTGGTCACCTCAAATTCTGCTGAGGCATCCCTCCCAGCAACATCTTCGAGCAGCTGCGCCCCTGAGCAAACATCATTGTATCACGAACTAGCATGGGTAAGCGTTCAATCTGGTGCTCTAGTTTCCAGGCTCCGGGCCACCCGGATGCTCTTGAAGGAATTTGGACGTGTCATAGACTAGGCCATGAATGGCCATCCACACATCTCCACTACCATTGTGCTGCGCAAGCTCTGCTTGACTTACGGTCTTCATCCTGTTTGGCCACGAGGCAAGCTTGGGCCAACGCAGCCACATCACCCAATCAAGAATGGGAAGCTACCCGATCCTTACAACTAATCTAGCACTAAGTGTGCAAACAAGCAAGGAGGATTGACGCAACTTTGACTCAACCGGCTTGGAACCCAAGTGCTGAGTGTGTTTTTTTTTTTTAAAACGCCGGTATTGAGCAGAACCAATCTCAATTGAAAATGAAACCAAAGGCATCGATGTTCTTGCAGATTTTCCATCGACTCTGTCGTTGAGTCATCAACCATCAGCACAACCAGGTGTGAGAATGTCCAGCTACCAGTACACGCAAATAAGCCTTCCCAATCGTGTCTCTGAAATTGATGGAAACAACAGGCGACCTCATCTGTTCTTCCTTTGGATCAAACTTCCTTGGGCTTGCCATCTTCCTTCCCTGAAAAAGCTCTTTGCATCATCTACCAGCTCCACTTTTGTTTGCGAGCGCTTTTTCTGCGTCGCCTCTTGCTGACAGGGCGGCGTTGAGGATTTCCACTCTGACTCTGTAAAGAAGGCTCGTTCGGAAGTATTGCACCAACCTGCGCTTCCAGTTGTGGCAAATCCAATCCGAGCTTGCGCGCAGCAACTGCCAGCTTCAGTAGCTCAAAAACCCCAAGCTCGTTCAACCGATGAGGAGACAATGCTGCGAGGATGTGTCCTTTCATTTGTGGTAAAATGGTGTACTCAACCTTCGCCAATGCATGCAGGAATTTCACAGCATCTCGAGTGCTCAACTCTTCAGGTGGTCGTGAGAGCAACAAGCCCATGACCGCACCAAATAGTTTCACAGGTGCTATATGTACCTTTGCAAAGGCGTGCACTACATTGATGAGCTCAGGACAAGACTGGACTTCTAGTGCTTTTATTGGTTGGATCGAATCGTTGCACTCAAGAAAGGCTTGCGCCAGCCTTTCGTGCAAACGGGAGTCTCGGACTTGAAACTTTGCAAATGCCATAGTTAACGCGGATAGTTCACTAAAAGTTGCAAGCTGAAGGTTGCAAGGGTGTGACACACGGTGTGACACTGCAGACTCATTTCCTGGAAGGGTGCGGCGAAGTATTTGGGTTGCACGGCCTGTCAGAACAGGGCAGCTCACCCCAGCTTTGGCCAATGATGCAAGCATCGAGCTCATCAGGGTAGCGTCCAAGGCATGCAGGTGGCGCCGAACTTCTATGGATAGTAAATCCAACAAAGCAATGTCTTGACTGGTAAATTTTGCAAATCCATACAGCACACTTGAAAGCTCCTCAGCTGTCAGAAGAGTTCGTACGTCTTTTTCACGTAGTCTGCTTGCAAGTGCTGTCAAAATCCTTTCATCATGAACCCTGCAAACGGCAAACGTTTTGGCTATCGTACCACAATCCTTTGAGCTCAGCTCGCTGGTTTGTCGAGCAAGTGAATTGCTGATTCCAAGAAGCAGGGCTGACACTTGTCGATCACCACGGATTCTGAAGTTTGCCATAGCTTGCAAGAGATTGCAAAGCTGCGCAACTGTAAAAAAGGACAGATGTTCCAATGCAACTCTGGCTCCTCCGTCTATTAGTTCAGATCTCTCGCACCTTTCACTTCGATCTGGTAGTGCGGAGGCAGAAAACAGCTGGGACAAAGACAATAGCGAGGTGGCCAAACACGCTGCAGTAGCCTTTGACTGTCTCAGCATCTCAAAAAGTTCCGATTCCATTCTTCCCACAACTCGGTCATTGCGGAACGCAAGAATGGCATGAGATTGAAGGACTAAAGCCAAATTCCCCGGCTCCAGCATATTGTTTTCAGCTGCCGCAACAGCCATGTCACCAACATTGTACCTGGCACCAAGCAAATGAAGCGGGCAAGTTGCAGAAAGGAGCTTGTACATGCACTACGTTGATGGCAACAGCTTGTCCAACCTGCAAAGGTTGAGTTGATAGTGCCTTGCATATTGGACTGGTATTCTTGGATTAAACGTTGGATGCCCTGCAATTAGACCCAATGAGCCTTTGTGTCCTGTTTCAAGCTCACTTATGCAATCAAAGCAGGAAACAATAGAACACACGCGCGCATTGCCCGAAAGCTGCGCCTGATTCCTTCTTTTTGCACATCTCTAAAGATCTGCTATTTCGTCTTCGAGCCACTACAGTAGCAAGTGAGGAATGCTGTACGTGTTCGTGCATACGTGTACATGCTCCATTTCCACACCCCGCCTTAGAACGATTTGGGTGTCTCAAATTTTTCTACATCCAATCCTTCACCGTTCATGAAAGTTCTGAATTCAGCAGCGCGTGGAAGAGCCACGCTCATTCTCCGGGTTCATATGCTGTCGTACTTTCGCTTTGATTGGGTAATCGTCCATGCTGCGCACTGCCACCAGCATCATTTTCCTTGCTCTTTTCATTTCTGCTGACACGTAAAACCGAGCGAATCGAGCGGGGGGTCGCATTGCTCAAGTTCGCTTCCTGACTCAACATTGTGTTTCACACGCCTTTCATGGTCACTGCGTTCAGGGCGCCTGGAATCTAGCGGGCGTTGGACCATTGCTGTCCTTTTCTGAATCTTCTGCTTGCATCTTTTCTTCTTCATCAGCCGTGGCCCTGGCGCATCATCTCCAGCCTCTGTTCTGTTCTCCGGCCCAAAGAGAATATCAGACTGACCATTTTCTTCTAATTTCATGAATGTATGAGCGGCTGACATGTGCGGTCAGGTGAGCTGGGTCTTGCAAGTTGTTGTAGGCGTTTCGATCTTGCCTTAGATCCTGGCGGTGGCCTGGGTTAGCCATCACTTGAGATTCTCGAAGATGATCGCTCACTGCAAAGCAAAGTTTCACCAGGTTGATATCGATCAAAAACCATAACGCAATTTACTCCTCCACTCAAAAAAGCTCTGTCTGAGGGAATACCTTCTAATCGCCCACAACCTGAGCCAGGGAAGATCTGTTTTGACTTTCACTTGCTTCATCCGTCTCATTCTCCTCTTCCTCCTCTTCCCCAACCCCGTCTTCGTTTCCTGTAGGCATGGTGTGTCACTGCCTCCATTGCCTCAGCATGACCTTCTGCAAGGTCACGGATAGCATTGCCTCCATTGTTGGAGATGCTGTCCACATTATGTACTGACTGTTCTGATACCTCAAACCATTCATTTCACACCTCACGCCGATCATGTGGAAAGAATTACTACTCAACACCGTGCGCAAAACATGCAGTCATTAGCTGATCACTCACGTTGCATTAGTCCTTTCATCACGCCAACTGCTACCAGCATCTGGAGCACGTTGCTGAAGGCCCTGTTTATCTCAGCCCCAAAAGTGTCATTGCAAAGACCAACCAACGCTCAGGATCCCTCCTCGGACGCCCCGATGGCTTTGCTTTCAAGTCTGCTTCTCGCAGTCGTCTGACGGCTGCTTCTTGCAGCAAACGCCCCAAGATTGCCTATAGGGACATCGACAACCAAGCCCAAGTGCACAGGCGTAGCCAAGGAAGCCCAGGGCGGAGACTGGGAGCAAGGAAATCACACGTCGAACCACGTGGCAAGTTGGAACCAACTCAGCAAGGCCAGCTGATGTAGGACCTACGACATGACAGTTTGCTTGCCCAACGTGCCTGGGACGAAGCCAGCCCTAGATGCATTCGTCATTGTTTAATTGGCTTTTCACGTGTACGTGTGTGGCACCCCAACCTTCTGACTGCTGGAGCGGGGCTTGTTTCACTGCCACTCCTTCAACTAGTGGTCCAACGACAGCCAAAATCTCAGCCTCCATCGAATTCAAAGCTATCGAGGCTTGTGTCCGTGAGTGGCTGTGGACGCAGTGCCCAAGCCTGAGTTAGTGCTTCTGCGTCTGCTCTTGGAAGTGGCCCAGTGACTGTCACTGAACAAATCCAAGTTGTAATCTAAAAACCTGCCTGTAAAGATGAGGAGGGCCCCTGCTAGGACTCGGCTAGGACTGGCGCTATCATGGCTCAAGAACTTCTCACGCTCATCTTCGCCTGCTACCAACACAATATCATCATTGCGCGTGGAGGTTGTGGCCATCCTGCTGTCTGAAAAGCGCGCCGCCTTGATAGGCAACACGGCCATACGTGTAAAGCGGCGACCGCTCAAGAGCTGCTGCCAGTTCTCACCCATTCTGGCGCTTGGATGTCGGGTCAACCATGAGGAAGGCGTCGCTCACATTGAAAACGTGCGCGCCAAGTGTGAGACTTGTAGGCTTGTGTGGCTTGTATGTTCTCAGACGTATCAAAGGCTTGACATGCCTAGGAGAAACTTACGCGACAGGATGTTGAACAAACACTTGCGAGCGGTGTGTGACAGAGTTTGCAAGCCGCGCTTGGTTTAGAATAGGGCTCTTGCGACAAAGACGTTTTTCACTGATTTTACAGCACTGCTTCAAGACTAGTGGCAGCTGGCAGTGAAACTTGGCACTGCAGCATATTGGACTTTCAATGTCGCAACCTTAAATGGTGGCAAATCCCTTCACGCCACCTGAGCGCTTAGATTCACCTTTGAAAGGAAATTGGAAGGTTGCGACGCATAGGCGTAGCAGTCCTCCAGCCATTGGTGGAACTTTGTTGCGCAGAGTGGTCCACGAACAGAATCTCTGGAAAGGATTGATCAGTGAACGCGCAGGTAAACGTTCACGCGAAATTCGAAAGAACCTCAGGACCACTTGCCCCAGGGTTTTCATTGTCGAAGTCAGCGGGCTATTGAAAGAGGCTTGGGAGAAATGAGCGTCGGTCGCGCGAGAAACCAGAGCTTGTTTGTCGCTTCGCGGTTCCAATTCCTCTGTCGCTTCTCGGTACCTCTTCGTACTCACGTTATTGAGGTGAGACTGGTTATGGATGCGCGCTGGGAATGAGCTATACTTTGAGAAAGCGCAGTTGTTGTTTTTGATGAAGAGTTACACTGGCGTGCGCGTGACAGAAATATCCTTGCGAAAGACCTTACAGGTTGAACAGCCGTTTGGTACTTTCACCTCACTTCCCGTCGATTTTTTGACTGACGCTTGCTTTGAGAAGAGTGCATGGATGGACGTTTGTCTTTGACCTCGGGTTTGTTTTCTAGTTTTACAGTCACAAAGAACCGCGCCAGAGCTTCAGCAAATGCTTCAAGCAATATGAGGATCCAATTTATCGTCGGGGCCAGCATCAAGAATCACTTATGAAAGATATAAAACACATTTGATAGAACCCATTGCGCTACCTCCGCTACTGCGCGGACATTGGACTGTCCTGAAGAGAACGATGGAAGTCCTCCCAAATCAAAATTTGTCGACCTGAATTGCTGTGTTGAAAATGGAACTGCCAACTGAACCAGTACCTTGTCTTCACCACATTGTTCAACCTCTGTGACTTGTTGCGCGCGCTGCGGGCAACCTCTGGATCAAAGACGCGACGAATCCGGCGCTGATTTTGATCAAGCTTTCCTTTTCCATTCTGCTTTGATTGGGTCTTTCCTTTGGACCCCTCCTGCTTTCCTGTTGACTTCCCTTTTCCTGTTCCTTTTCCAAGGCCTCTTGCCCCTGCCACCACGAAAAGGTAGTGTGCTCCGCCATGACTTGCCCTTGCCTTTGTACTTGCCTTTGCCGTTGTTCTTGCCTTGTCTTCGATACGATCTGGCTGTTTGCGCAAAGTCACGGATTTCAGGACGCTTCCCGGACTCCATGTTTTGCGTTCTTTGTCGCGAGACAAAACTGCATCCTTGATCTCAACTGTAGGACGGGCTTGGTGTCTTTGCCGGAGGCGGAGGGTCAACAGTTGCAGTTTGGGTTCCGACCGTTGAAGGACGCCAATTTGTGGGCGATCCAATAAGTCATCAGAGACCTGCCAGCATCCAAGGAGGAGTGGGGGAGAGACATCCTGATGGTTGGAAGAAAAGAAGCGACGGATGTGGCAGCTTCTACGATACAATGGGTGTGGTCGACGTCCAGTCCAGAGTATGCAGCGGTTCCTTGGCATTGAAATCCAACGGTTGGAGGACGGCACCTACTACCTGCATCAAGGCAATTTTGTGCGAGAGATCCTGGATCGACACACGCTGGGTGGCAGAGCGTTGTTCATCAAGGTCCCAGAAAAGAAGGATGAAGAGGCTCCATCTTTGTCCAAGGTGAAGGAAGCTCAGAAGATCACCGGGGAGCTTTTGTGGTTGTCTGGTAAAACAAGGCCGGACATTGTGTGGGCGGTGATGAAGATGTCTCAATGGGCAGTCAAAAGAGCGAAGTGGACTCTGGAGCTGGCGGAGGCGGTTCTTTCCTATGTTCGGTCTACAATCGACTTTGGCTTGCAGTGCCTGTAGACGAGGATCCGGATTTGTCCAGAAGTGGACCAAGGAGGAAGGACACCGTTGAAGTCCTTGCGGATGCGTCTTTTTGTCCTGGAGACAGCCATGCAGACGCTGGCGCAAACTGGCTTCCGCACACCTTATCAACGTGGCTGGGCGTGGTGCGCCAAGTCCTCATAAGCTTCGGGACCTGCTGGAACGAAGGCGAAGTCGCCATAGTTTGCACTCGCTTTTGTTCTTCAATGTCGCCGTCTGGTCAAACACCTCTTGCGCGCCACCTTCCATGGCACCACTCGCAGGAACGCAGCTAAGAACATTCACGGCCAGGAGTTGACCGCGCAAGCAGTGGCAGTACTGTGTTTGTGGGGTGGACGCGCGCGCGTTCTTTCGTTTGCTGCTGAGACGCATGAGTGTGAACGAGAGTTTGAATGCCTTGATGTGAGTCACTTGAGCCTCAAAGCGCGCCGCGCAACAACACGCGTTGAGGATTGGAGAAGAGCCCGGCGCAGACATTGTCTTGAATAGAGCTGTTCATGGTCGGCCTCCAGGGCTTAACCTGCCCATGATTCTCCTTTCTCTCATCCTCTTCACTCACCACCTTGCCAAGCGCACATTCAATTGCAGTGTCCTTCCCCATCGCTTGTCACTCTTGCGCTGCGCGCCCCATCAGCCACAAACCTCTCACTGGGCCCTCGGAAGCTCTGAAGCGTGCCCTAGGCCTCAACCTCACCTGCTCTTTGACCCACGGCAGCCAACTGCCGTGAGCAACACCTGCAGGACATGGTATCACCAGGCTCACGCTGCCATCTCAAGATCTGCAATCGTTGGAACAAGTGAAAAACGCTGTACGTGCTCACGCGTGCGCGCTAAAACTCGACAACATCCTCGCACCGTCGTTGACCTATCCTATCCCATTGTACCAACTGGTTGGACACCACGTTGACCCAGTTGAACAAGCTTTGAACCCACTTGACCGGGTTGAGCCCAGTTGATTAATGACAGTAGCAATAATTAATACAGTAGCAGTAGCAGTAGCAGTCGTTGTCGTTGTCGTTGTCGTTGTAGTAGTAGTAGTAGTAGTCGTCGTAGTAGTAGTAGTAGTAGTCGTAGCAGTAGTAGTAGCAGTGGTAGCAGTAGCAGCAGTAGCAGTAGCAGCAGCAGCAGGAGGAGTAGTAGGGATAGGAGTAGTAGGGATAGGAGTAGGAGCGGAGTAGCAGTAGCAGTAGCAGTAGCAGTAGCAGTAGCAGTGGCAGTAGCAGTAGCAGTAGCAGTAGCAGTAGTAGTAGTAGTAGTATTATAGTATAGTAGTAGTAGTAGTAGTAGTAGTAGTAGTAGTAGTAGTAGTCGTAGTCGTAGTCGTAGTCGTAGTCCTAGTGGTAGTGGTAGTGGTAGTAGTAGTAGTCGTCGTCGTAGTAGTGGTAGTAGCGGGCAGGGTTCTGATTGTAAGTGGTGTAAGATCGCGCTTGACCCAGTTGAACCAGGTTAAGCCCAGTTGGAGGGATTTACTTTGCGTGATGGCAAGTGTGGTAGTGGTAGTGGTAGTGGTGGTTGTTGGTCGGGGTCAACTGGCCTTGTATCGTGAATCAAATCTCTCACAAGGAGCCGGTTGCAAGCCTGGCTTTGCACCATTTGGTTGATCTTGGTACAGTGATGTGTTTGCTCGAAAAAGGTTTTTATCTTCCAACTTACTAAGTGTTGCGTCACCCAATGGAGCAGGTTTGAGCCAAACAATGTTGAAACACAAAATTAGAACCCTTGCACAACCCTTGAAGGAATCCAAAGTGCAGCAATTCGTCGTCTTGATGCTGGGCTGACGCGGCAGTGGCAGCGTAACATGCGAGCGCGTGTAAGTCATCCTGGCACAATCTGCGAGCCTGTGAGCTGCAGTTTTGCCAGAAAACCTGGTCCTTGTAATTGCTCGACGCAGCACTCTGGGCAACAAGAAGCAATGTAGCTTTGTCGGGCAGCTGGTCATACACCAGGTGCGCTGGCGGCGCTGTTGTTGCAGTGAACTTCGGCCTTCCTTGCTGTTTTCCACACCGCAGCAGTTGAGCCCCCAAGCGTCCACTCACCAGTTTTCGTGCTTCCATGAGGACTTGCCCATCGGAACTCAGTCGCCAAAACAGAATCCAGGTTGGGAAGTCTTGCTTGCCAATCAAAAACACTAGTGACAAAAGGGACAATGCGCCTGCGACTTATTGTTTCAACATCGAAAGACTCTGCAAAATGTTTGGATTGACTGCTTTTGCTCAAATGTTCTTTGCAGCCAAAAAGAGCTGAATGTTTGCAACAACCGCTCGAGCGCCAGCCACACGCTCAATACTGCCAAACAAACTCCGAGAACAAAACTTTCTCAAAGCGTGGCCCTTTTCATCGGAAGCAACTGGATTCGGCAATGCGTCTTCACACACCTGCAGAGAGCAGCGAATGTTGAGTTTTCTTCCTACCTACTCAGTTGAGCCTCTAGGCTCTAGAAAACTGAAAACTTGCGGCGCGCGAAATTGCATTGGATGTTCCTTGGCTTCAAATTTCGAACCACGTGGAAAGGGCGCTACGTACAACCGCGCGCTTTTTCCCACACAAGTCCAATAAATTCGCCGCTTCGTGAAACGAACCGAAGCTGCGCAGCTCCAAGACCCAATGGCCACGGTGATGAAAGCGACCGTGAGCAAGACGAGTGCGTGGGGGCTGCTTGAGATCAAGCTTCTGAACACGTTTCTTTTTTTGTTTTGTGGGTACTCCTCAGGCGGCAACGCCAATAACCCATGCGCCACAGCGGCCGTGAAGCCAGAACTGCAAACATCGCCGCCAGAATCAGACAAACCTCGCCTCTTCTCGCTGGCTGGTGTAGAGACGTTGGCGTGAAGGCGGTTTGCCGAATGCGCTAAATACTTCGCCTGGTCAAGAAAACGTGACTGCCTTTCGCAAAACTTGCGCGGCCGCCCAACTGTGGCGCATTGGTTTTTCTTCGTGCGCGAAGAAGCTCTACACCCTGCTTCAAGCCTGGCGGCCGTCTTCGCTGCTCTCACCTTCGCCCAGCGCATTTTCTGAAGCTGTGCCTTGGCGGGGCTTTCCCCTATAGGTGGAATACAAGTATTGTTGGCAAGCCCAGGGCGCAAAACAACTCCTCTAGCAGTCATAAAGAGCTGCAGCAGCCTGGCGGGCAACCTTGCCAGTGTCTAATCACGTGCTTTGAGGCGCCTTCCTTGCCCTCTGCTTGCGCACTGCATCGTGGAAGTCAAGGGCCAAAAGGCCTGCGCCCTTTGCCCTGGGAGGCACTTGACCAACCTGTAGATCTTCTCCGATCTTCGTATAAGCCTTCTCCTCACTGGGTTGAGGCGACATCAGGAAGGCGTCTTTGATATCCCATCCCAACGAAGTTGCCATAGCAGTTGATCAGTTAGAGAAATCACCATCTTGCGAATGATCATCAATGACATTGGTGCAAAAGTTTTCTCCATTCCCACACTGCCTAAACCTTGCGCGTCGGAAACCAACCTGCTTTTTTTCTGAGCCTGTGCTTCCAAGTGTACACCAGCTTTGTACTGATTCACATAGCCGTTGTTCTCCTCTGGCTTCGGTTTCTTCCATTGCTGGTATCTTAACTTAACATCCTTTCAATCTCCTTCTCCCCTGCCCTTGAGTTCCTCTTCTGGAATATCAGGTGGATCGTCATCTTCGTCTCCACCATCTCCTCAAGCCCTGCCTCTTCGTCTCCATGAGCCTTGATCCACCAGCGTAACAAGGTGGATACAGCCTTGACTTCCTTGACTTTGGTGATCCTTGTGCCACGTACTGCTTCTCTGCTCTCCCTGATCGTTCATTCTCACTTCCGTCCTCTATCCTCCGTTTTTCCCGAAAGCATTGCGAAGGGTTCTTCCGGAAAATCCCTTGAACACTGACACTTCGACACTTACACTTACACACGGACACTTCCACACTGGCACTTGAACACTGACATTTCTACACTTACACTTGAACACTTACGCTTCCACACTGACACTTGAATACATACACGTCTATCTATACGTATCCCAGTGTAAGGGTAAAAAGCATCCAAGGGCAAGTATGCCTGTGTGAGTATCCAAGTGCAAAAGTATGCAAGTATCCCAGTGCAATCCCAGTGCAAGTATGCAAGTATGAGTATGGAAAACTTGCGCGGGAGATGTCCTAATGAAAAACATTTCCCCACTTTATAAATTCTCTCTTAAAGGCGGAGGGTGGGACGAACAGCGTCAACCGAAAATGCAACCCTCTGTGGAGATCGTGCGTGTCGTGTGCGCGAAATGCAGGCGAGGGTGCGATTTGATCTATGCCCGCGCAACCCTCTGCGGAGATCGTGCGTGTCGAGTGCGCGAAATGCAGGCGAGAGTGCGATTTGATCTGTGCCCGCGCAACCCTCTGCGGAGATCGTGCGTGTCGAGTGCGCGAAATGCAGGCGAGAGGGCGATTTGTGAAATTACCGCGCAACCCTCTGTGGAGATCGTGCGTGTCGAGTGCGCGAAATGAAGGCGAGAGCGCGATTTGTGAAATTACCGCGCAACCCTCTGCGGAGATCGTTCGTGTCGAGTGCGCAAAATGCAGGCGAGAGTGCGATTTGTCCCATGCCCGCGCAGCCCTCTGCGGAGATCGTGCGTGTCGTGTGCGCGAAATGCAGGCCAGAGTGCGATTTGTCCGATGCCCGCGCAACCCTCTGCGGAGATCGTGCGTGTCGAGTGCGCGAAATGCAGGCCAGAGTGCGATTTGTCCCATGCCCGCGCAACCCTCTGCGGAGATCGTGCGCGTCGAGTGCGCGAAACGCAGGCGAGAGTGCGATTTGGAGAGCTGGAAGATGAGAACTGGCGATTTGCTAGTACAACTTTAGTGCGCGGAGCAATCTGTGGAGCTGGAAGTTGAGAACTGGCGACTCGCTAGTACAACTTTAGTACGCGGAGCAATCTGTGGAGCTAAACGCTGAGAACTGGCGACTTTGTAGTGCAACTTTAGTACGCGGAGCAATCTGTGGAGCTGGAAGCTGAGAACTGACTGGCGACTGTGTAGTACAACTTTAGTACGCGGAGCAATCTGTGGAGCTGGAAGCTGAGAACTGACTGGCGACTGTGTAGTGCAACTTTAGTACGCAGAGTATCTGGGGAGCTGGAAGATGTGGTGAGAACTGGCGACTTTGTAGTACAACTTTAGTACGCGGAGTATCTGGGAGCTGGAAGATGAGAACTGGCGACTTGGTAGTACAATTTTAGTGCGCGGAGCAATCTGTGGAGCTGGAAGCTGAGAACTGGCGACTTTGTAGTGCAACTTTAGTACGCAGAGTATCTGGGGAGCTGGAAGATGAGAACTGGCGACTTTGTAGTACAACTTTAGTACGCGGAGTATCTGGAGAGCTGGAAGATGAGAACTGGCGACTTGGTAGTACAACTTTAGTACGCGGAGTATCTGAAGAGCTGGAAGATGAGAACTGGCGACTCTGTAGTACAACTTTAGTACGCGGAGTACCTGGGGAGCTGGAAGATGAGAACTGGCGACTTTGTAGTACAACTTTAGTGCGCGGAGTATTTGGGGAGCTGGAAGATGAGAACTGGCGACTTGGTAGTACAACT